TCTCTCCCTCGGTCTCTAGCTTTGGCAGCCCCAGAGAATATCATCGCATCGTACAGGCTTAGAATTGACTTTTACTTTCATTCCTCCGAAATACCAAGCATTTCTCGTCGATGGCAAACATTCTCTCGAATTTGTTCTTGCATGTGGCCAAAAATACTTCTCATTGCTGTTGCTATTGTTGTGCTAAAATCAACTCATTTAATTTGTATTTCTCGTTTTGCCAAAACTCACATTTGATACCAAACAAACCGAACGTTTAATCAAAATAGTAAAATTTTTCAGTGAACTTGGTCGGATAATTCTGAGCAATTAAAAAAAAAATGGAATAAATGGCCATTAAGTTTTGGTTGAAAATAATCAAATTCATGTGAAAAGTGAAAGCAAACTCTTACATCGAAATTCCAACGGAAAATTTTTCATCGACTGTCTAAATGTTGTCGTAAAACATTTGGTCGTAATGCTGCTATTTTTGCTGCTGCTGCTGCTGCTGTTGTTGTAGCTGCAATAAAATATAAGATGGGCTTTGTGTGTGATCAGGTGATTTTCAATGCCTGAAAATCATAACTACACACACACACACTCGCTCTTGTGAGGGACTCGAAATAGGTATTAACTTAATGACAACTAATAATGCAAGAAAATGACTTTCTTCGAAATTATCACAACAACAGCACCAGCTTCAGCGAAAAGAGCGGCTAGAATTTATCATTTGGAATATAGCGATTACGTGAGCACATATCGATATAGATGACAACGCTCAGCAAACGACAGAGCTAGTAAAAATCATGATAATAACAATAACGCATTGAACGCAATTAAAGAACTATTATATAAATTTGCCAAAACGAACGTCACCCACTGTGTGTGCTCGAAGAAAATGGAAGAAAAAAATAGAAAAAAATTATGAATATATTCGCTAGCAGAGAATACACCACCACCATCACTACCGCCGCCACTCGTAAGAATTCAAATCACGGTTTTAATTGTGCCGTTTTGTCTCAACATTTGCGTCGCAGTATGATTGAACGCCACATTCATACACACACCAAAACTCATTTATATACATACACACTTATTTCATTTTCTAGCTATGGAAATATTTACGAGCGAACATTTCTTTTGGCATATTAAAATATTACTTTACTTGCCAAAATCTTAAACTCATTTTTGGAAAATCATTCAATACGAACACAAGTTTTCTTCGTCTTGTATATACGGAGAAATCACTTATGTGACAAATACTAATCGCAATAGATGGCGTGTGATGTGAATATTTGACGATTTCAATGCAAAATTTGAACGCTTCATTTTTGTGCGTTGAAGAAAATAATTTTTTTAGTAAAAAAAAATGAGAGAGGAAAACGGAAAAAGAGATGACTCATTTAATCGGATAGACGTAAGCATCAATTCAATTGGAAAAGTCTCTTTTTCAATCTCTTAAGTGAAATGGACACTATTGATAATAGCGAGTATGTATCCGTTCAGTCTACCAATCCACTAATCGTAGCCATGGAACCAACTTTCAATGTTTTCCTTGAATAACTTGTAATGAAAACGAGTTCAAAATGAAAAAAAAAACATATTTCCCATCTCATTGTAAAAATGTTTTGAAATTTTTTTTGAACGTTTGTCAATTGTTTCGGTCAAGGCATTAATTTTATATCAAGTTTTTCAATCATTTTAATTCTTTCGAATTATTCTCTAATCGGAATGAAATGAATGGCATTAAATCGAAATCATTCATTTCACTAGAAATGGACCTTGAGCACCTTTTTTTACCTACTTTGTTGGATATTTCCGCTTCAAAGTGGTAATAAATAAAGCTTCAAAACACTTATTAGCTAACCTTGACTAGAAATTCATTGTTCGAATAAAATTTTCTAATCAAAAATTAATTGTCCCTCGAAACCAAGCCATAACATTTTTCGAGACGGTATCTTGGGTATTGTGGTTGTGCGTGTGTTCGCATGATTTTGTGTCAGGTTTGAAACAAATATCTCATTCATTCCAATTAACATAGGTGTTTGTTTGACGGTTTCAATACTTGAGATCTATTCAACCGCTTCAAATGCCGGTGAAGATACGGTTCGTGAGTTGGGTGCGATATGTATTCATCAAAATGGTTACAAAGTATCTATGCCGACGGCAAGCTCTTATATTTGCATTTTTGTCCAAGTGATATTTGTTTACTTCACAGTGCCACGGGCGAAAAAGTTGCGTTTACTACAAACGCTCATAAATGAAATGAAATTTTCATCGCTAATAAAATGTAATGAATTTCGGAACACATCCAGTAATAATTGAGTGGGTTCAATTTATGCGAAATTGGGTTGAATTTTCTATGGAAACAAAAATGAACGAAATACATGGTGTAATTGAATATATAATGATAATGGTTGTTCTAAATCTTAATATGGGATCATGTATTTCTTTCGAAAATGACTTGAATTCATCTCGATTTAAGAATTAAATTGAAGTTTACGCAAAATCGCTAAATCAAGAATGTCGATGTTATAAATTGAGCAAAAATCATACGTTTTTATATCGAACTTCAGGAGGAATGTTACAACTAATTCATTTCGATAAGAAAAATATTAGCCAATCGACATATTTCAATTGAAACTATTTCATTTGTCGATGTAATTTTCAAAAAATTTAAAATATTCCATTCATTCGCAAGGAGAATGCAAAGAATTCAAATTTAATTTAAATCCTATCGTTTCTGATGCAGAGTGAAGAATTTTTGATTTAAAAAAAAAATTCGAATAATGAAAGTGAATAAAATAATAAATTTCAAAGAAATTGGAGGAAAGAACAACTTTTAAGGATGTAAAAACGCACACTTACGTCTAAAACGATGCTATAAAATGGCATCGCTAAAGTTGTGAATGAAACCACATCAGCCAATGTTCATAACTCACAGTTGTTTACTCTGTTGCACATTGTTTGCGAAAATATGTGTACGTAAATATTTATGCAATACGAGTGAATTCAATGTCATGGAGTCATTATCAAACCGGTTACAGGATAACTTGGATTATGTAACCAAAAATTACAATTCATTCATACGCATGGATTTCCCGTGTTTTTGCACACTCATTTTTACCTACATTTTAACAAATTTTGTCGCGGATGCGAATAAAGACTTCTCTTTTTAATATGAAGCAGTTATGTTGTTTAGTATAGTCGAAAAAATTTATTTTCAATAAGGAAAGTTTTTTTTGCAAAAAAGCCCTACCTACATGTGGTTAGATTCTTTCCATTCGAAAAATTCATTCAACTGAAAAAAAAACAAAATCAAAAATGTCGCGATATTCTGATATTTTCAGTCTACTAGACTGTTTTTTGACTTTTATTGCGCATTTTCAAATGTTTGAGTATAAAAGTTCGGATGAATGCGGGCAATTATTGCGTAGGAAATCTCGAAATTACCTCCTTTTGTTGAGAAAATTGAAAGAAAAACTCAATTTCACAGAGTCTCTAAATTCCGTTGAAAAATGCGCGTTTCCATGTTATATTATCATCGTCGCGTGTGTACGCTGTTTTTGAAAGGGGGTATGGGATTTTTTAATAGGCAAAATCAGCAACGGTGTGACGGTACAAAAGCGAAGAAAAGAAGAGAAAATTGAATTTATTATTGCCATATACACAAGTCGTGAACATAGTTAGCGTCAAATGTGTGCATGTGTGTGTTTATAAACATCTGATGGGAAATAGAAGCGAAATATCCATGTTCTCCTTGACTAAGCAACTGTATGTAGAGAGACGTGGTAGGAGCGAACGAAACGATGTTGATATGTAAAATGCTTACATTTGCATGCAAAAACACACATTTGGAAAAAGAGCGGCAAAAGAATAAAGCGCAAAGACGAAAGGCGAAAGGCGAAGCAAAAGACGAAGAGAGAGAGAGAGAGAGAGTACCGTGTGTTGTGTGTGTGTTCGCTATTCACAATTTTCCTATTATACTTTATACAATAGACTTATGTGCGCGAGACCATGTATTCCACGCGCTGCTGTAGCCTGTGCCCATGTATACATGTTCTTTCTTTATATTTTTTATAGAGGGTGGTGGTAAATAAGATCGAGAACGAGTCGCAATGGCAAAAAAGAAAAAGCGAGCGAGAAAAGATGGGAAAAATAAAAGTTTGGTGTATGTGTGTGTGTGTGTACGTGGCTGGATGTGTGGATGTGTGAGTGTGTTCTTTCTCTATACGATTGGCGCATTTTGTTGAGCATAAGCGCCTTATACGCCGCAACCACTTTATCTCCCTTTTCTCTTTTAACCATTTTAATTCGTTTTATTTTTGCCATCTCGTTTTTCACATTCTTGTCTTTTGCCCTCGCTTCTTTTCTTCACTCCGGCTGCACGCTTCGCTTTCGTCTCGGCAACAAAACGCCATCTATACACACTGATACCCGACACTTATTCTTCTTCGTATGGATTTTATGGCTATGACTACAAGCATATAGCATAAATTATCTCTCGGAAATGTTGTGTTGCCTATCGGAGAGGAATTCTTTCATACCAACGATGAAAGAAAATTTAACATTAGATTACTTATTTTTGCAAGGATGATACAAAAACTCTCGGGAGAACGAACAAGACTCCAACTCTTGGGTAAATTACGATCCAGTTTGCTAAGGGTTTGTATGTTTATTCACTGGATTTTTGGATACATGGCATAAATTCATTTTTTGGATGTTCTTTTCCATTCGAACGGTCATATCGAGCTGAAAATTCGTAGTATCCGTTATTTTCAACGGTCAAATGTTTGATTTGAATTTTAATATTCATTCATATTTGATCGGAGTTATATTTTAATGGTCTGATTCTGTAACTGTCTTAAAATGTCTTCAAATTTATTTTAAAATGAATACAACATTTGATTGACCCTTTTTTGGATTGATGTTTATTTGAGAAAAAAAAAACTCAATTCACAGTTTCAATCTTCTTTCCAATACCATTTCATGTAGATGTAAAAGGTTTGGAAAACTGTTTGAATGCTAGTCAGGCGCATTGATACAGCCATAGATTTTATATAAATTTTTCAATTGTTCGACATTTTTTTTTAGAATTTCGTTTTAATCAACCTATCTTTGAAGTATTTAAATGTTTGTCAAATGAAAAAAAAGTTGATCTTTCGAAGCAAAGGGATGTGGCGCCGCATTATAGGTAGGTATTTTTATATGGATTAGAACATTATTGAATTCGTTGTCTATTTTTACAGAAACAACGTTTCTGACAATACCCTTGAATATGTGCCGATGGGCAATGTACGTATCCCTTATGGTCAGTGCCAATACTGTCGTGCATTTTTGCCGCTTGAATAAGTCCAGGGCCGTAAATCAAGTTGTCAAAAGAATCGATGACTGAGATTGTAAAATCGACGATAGATTCAACATTCAAAATTCGATCAATGTCAATTTAAGTGAAAATTATTATTAAGGCTAAATAATCTACAAAATTAAAGTGTTACAAACGTTTGTGGGATTTCTTTATTAATCGACATTGTAATTTTATTACCATTTATCATTTCGGGGTGAATGACCGTAGTCACCTTTGCCATCTTCATAACGTGAACATATTCGGATTCATTCTGAGTTCTATTCAAGTAAACCACTGATGAAAGGATGATCCGCCAACCTCTAAGGGAGAAAAAGTAGAAAAAATGTAAAAATTATCATTTTCAATACTTTTTTTTAGTAAAAAAAAAAATGTCTGAAATGAACAAAGTTCATTTTGGCGATACTGAAAGGAAACTGAATCAAAAAAGTGTAAAAACTCATTGGAACTGGAAAGAATGAAGCCAGAAAAAAAATCCAAACTGAAATGAATAGCATGGCGCCGCATCAAATTTGAGTCATTCAATTCGTTCAAAATGAGCCCCGAGCACCTCTTTTTTTCTCCATCCTATCGGATATTTCATTTTGTTTCATACGAAATAAATGCAAAATTATTAATACATTCATTATTCGTGCACCCACCTACTCTCTCTCTCTCTCTCTCTCTCTCTCTCTCTGCGTCTATATATTTTAAAGTGGGCAAATAGAAAAAGGCTTATGGTGTTTATCGATTGTGCGGGATCTGTGCTGAGGCGCTTCGATATGAATGTGACGTGAACGAGCGAGAGAAATGAATGATGAATCTTTCTTATCATTTACTCTCCGGGAAACGTAATTTATTATTTTACTTCCACCCCAACATCGGCATCGGAGTGCTTTCTTTTCGAAGCTGCGTTTCATTTTCATGTGCGTCCTTTTGTCTCCATAGTTATTTATTTAAAATGGATATTACCGCTTGTCTGTTGAAATTATTTACTTTTCGTTCTCTTTCTCGCATTTATCTCAATCGCTCTTTTTCCTTTTCACACTTCAGTCTTCCTTCACCTCTCGCTCGGTCTTTCGTTCGCAATGGTTGGCTCGAAAAGGAATTCAATGTGATGAGTACTTGAGAGTGGAACAAAGCAGTATACTTGGTAAAAACATAATAATCAAGAAAAGTAGGAGTCAAAAAATTGGTTTTCGTGTATGACAGAGAGAGAGAGAGAGAACGAGCGCGCGCATTTTTTCATTAATTCATTCCTCCTCGATATTTTTCCGACTTTCATTCTCTCAATAACGACGACGACGACGACGACGATGATGACAAAAGACGGCGAAGCAGCAAGAGGAAGCGGAGCAAAGATAGCGCACTCGATGTAAATATATGCAATCGCAAAAATTCAGCGCGCTATCTGCGTGCGCCGCGCGCGCTCCCACATTTTATTTACACACCGTGAAAGAGAATGAATTGAAATAGAGAAAGATATGCGCGAGAGAGTACAAGAGTGAGATCGTCAACATCGTTATCGTGAATTACTTTACTTTCAGCAGTCATTTGTGTGGCGCTCCGATATTATTTTTTTCATTTTGGTTGGTTTGCGTTGAGGATTGCCTCCTAACTTCGTTTTGCTACTTCGGTGTGTGATGGATTTTTTTTATAGCTTTTTTCCATTTTTCCATGGTGCCATTCATCAGGCGCGCCACCAACACACAGACATCGAGTGAGTGAACGAACGAACGAACGAACGAGCGTTTCTTTGCACACGCACAAACACTCACCAACACAGGCACAATCGTCGAGAGATGGTGTGTGCATTAGCGCCCCCTCCTCGTTCCACCGACCCGTTCTCAGCAATGAACCAACGAACGAACGAACGAACGAGCGAGCAAAGCAAACGAGAGATCTCGTTGTGCGATATTCTTTCTTATGTATATAAGAAAATATGTATTTAAATTTCTCGTGCAATAGACAGGAAAATATAGCGAGTTCTTGGGGTTCTTACTCATGTCATATACACAAAATATGAACGTGGCAGCAGCATCAACATCAGCAGCAGCAGCAGCATCGTAGAAAAAGTAACCCGATGGTGTGTGTATAAAAATTATATGTGCTCTTGTTTTCTCATTCTCTCATTTCACTTGCTGCCATTTCGCCATATATATAGGGAGAAAGTTCATTGTGTTCACTCTCTAACGAGCATTTCGAAGAGTTTCGAGCGTGCACACACACACACACAATACCGAGCCACCGAGCCATTCCGAGGGAATTTTATATTATGCGATTTATAATCATTTTAATACGTAAATATTTAGTTACCTATTCTCTGGTCGTTCGCTTTGCTCATTCGAGTCAATGGTGGTAGTGGCGATGGTGCAACTTTTTCTGACTCACTTTTCACTTGGTTCAGCCGGTCCGTGTGCCGAGGCGGCACATAAGCGTCGTCGTATTTTCCGAAAAGAAACTTATAATACATAATCAAAATAATAATAACGTAAAAGTCGATGAATGTAAAATAAAATATAAACACAGTGTGAGAACGGGTGGGAGAGAGAGAAAGAAAGACACGGCAAGCGACCCGGAGAGTGAGAGACTTCTTTTTATCATCTATGTGGCAGATTTTCATCTTGAAAATTCATATCAGTATTCGCTATATGCCGTGTGCTTCATAGATTTTTTTTTGTACTTGCTTGCTCGCTTTCTTTCTTCGCCAGCTGCACCAGCCAAAGCGTAATGATAAGGAGACTGTGGCTGTGTTTTGCATTGCATTTCGCACTTCTGTGTATGAAATGCGCGCACGCTACCGTCCCGCTTCTCGTTCCGTTCGTTCGTTCGTTCGTTTGTATGCACCGAGCACAGCCAAATTTTCTATGCATTTGCAAGCAATTTCCGAAAATTTGTATGAGCAATGGGAACACGGTTAGTTGTTCAAGAGAGGAAGTTGAAATTAGAAAATACGTGGAATGGAGGACAATTTAATAACTAGATATGCATACATGTATAAATCACATTTTCCGATGCGAACCAAGAGCCAAAAAATCAGCGGCGATGCACCGACGACGATGACGATGGCAACGACGTTGCTCTCAGAAGCATAGCAGCGACCGAGAACGACGAAAAAGTCAAGCCATTTCGAACAAATATGGGGCGATTTTATAAGTGAATTAAAGAGTCGCTGCACACAACACACAAAAGACCCCAAATAAAAGAACGATGATTATTCAATTCTTTGGTGAGCCATAGCACACGATGACGATGCACTGTAAACTTCTTTTTTTTTAAATAATGGTTTTCTCTCTCTCTCTCTCTCGCTCACTTTTTTCTACCTCCGCCTACAGATCATTCTCTCATTCTATGTTCTTTCAAAAATTACTAATTTAAAGTTGATAGCCGCATTATTTATGGCATAAGTTTTTGGAATTCCACCACGTTTTTTTTTCTCTCGTTTGGTTTCATTATTATTTCTTGAAAATTATTATTATTATAGTACACAGACAATTGCCAGTAGAAAAGTTCCACACTTCGGTATGTGTGCGCTCCATTCTCTTTAATTCATTTTTCATTGGGCCAAAAAAATTTATTTATGCATATTCATCAGATAATATCATATTGTTCAACAACAAATACACATGCGACGATATGAACTCATAATTATGCTTCGCTTCGCTTCTCGACTCGCCTTTTTATTAGACACACTACCATGCTCCACACTCGTTTCGTTCGTGGCATGCACACAAGCGCTACAACGAAACAAAATGTTCAACAAACACAAAAAACCGTCAACTCAATGCTTCATCCATATATTTATATCAATTTTGGCGTTTTTGCTGCAGTTTTAGATGGACTCGCTTCTTTTTTACGCACACCACCGGCTGCGTGTGTGAAAAAGAGAAATGAAAGCCACATTTGAGATTGAAGACATTAATAAATTCAAAATCTGGGCAAATTTATCTAGTCGCATTATGCGAATCGCTTATACAGATTTGCAATGCAAATCTTACACCATGTCATATCAATTCGAGAGATTTAATTCTAAATATATGCTTGCCAAATGCTTTGATTTTGAACGGAGGAAAAATGCGAAGATTTTATCGCGTGTGCCCAAATGTTGATATGAATAATGCGATTATGCGATAGATTTTTTGGTTTATTTCAGTTGATCGAGAAAGAGTTTGATCCCTCTTTGCGAATTCTGTAAGTTGAATTGCGAATCTCTGACGAATCACGATTTAATTCGCAGAAATCGCATTTTAATTCGCGTTTTTAAATCATTCTTGGTACTTGCCTGATGTCACCTGGAACTTTGGTAGGAATAAGAAATAAAAGACTTTCATTGGAATTTATTTGAACTTAAATATCTAAAAAAAAATCAATTTCTCATCAATAACATTTCCCTTTGAATGCTATGAAATACGAGCTGGTCAAAGATATACTCTTTTCATCGGGCAACTTTCGTCAATGTGTTCAACGTATAAAATCAACAGATACCGGCCGTGTAATTCAAACACAAATCGCTCTCACTCTCTCCGTTTGTGTTTCGTCATGTTCGTCAATCATCCGGTATCGAAAATGTTTGTTTACAAAAGGAGGGGCGCTGAATGGTCAGCAATAGCTATCAATATGTGTCCAGTGTTTTGTTTTCGGGCACCAAAAGCCGATGCATGGACAAAGAAACCAGAAAATCAAGTTTACATTCTCACCCTTCTTTGTTCGTCCACCGCAGCCAACATCGGCGTCGTTTATTCCCAAAACGAGCGTTTTCTTTAATGAGTTGTCCATAAGATTGTGCACAATCTTAAAGTTTTCGGCATGTTTCCGTATCGGTTTTATTAAATCTTTTATCCATTCGCCTTTTTCTCTTTCTTCATTATTCACTTTGGAATTGTTTGCGTTGTGTTTGCCCAAAAGTAAAGGAAAAACTGACCATTGCGTCTAATGACCGCAAGTCCTTTTCTTAACGTCGTCATTGTTCCGGTGTGTGTGCGATCGCTCGCTCGAGCGCTTGACCCTCCGAAACCGGTTTTTCTTGCTAGGCCATTCAGATCGGACACCATAATCCGTATATATTTTCATAATTTTCTATCTACCAAAAGAATGAAACATTTGAATCGTCCTTTTCCCACAGTTAGCGTCTTCCTTTTTTATTCGTAGACTAGATTCGTGAAATCTTCCTTGTTTGTACG